TGGACCGTCCGGGGTAAGCTAATTAACGGTGGATGGGCGGGGGAAGCGTGTAGGTGGTTAAGTATGTGCCTGAGAACTCAGTTAACTTACTTAGGCTTTTCCCCTTATCCTTAACACCTTTGAGGTTAATTGTGAGGTGGCTATCAGAGAAAAAGCCCCAAGGACTTCGACCTTTGAAGGTCCTCGGAAGCCAACCCCTTAATACACTATCACGACAACTGATCCTAATCCCTTGGTGTGCTTTCTTGAACAACGTCTTTGGTCAATGACTTAATGGCCATAGAGGTGACATCATGTGGACACAGGCTATGATGCCCGAGTTAGCTACTTGGTGGAAATCATTTGAGGTAAGCCATGGTATTATAGATACCAACAGACCCAGAATGTGGAGAAGGAAAGCAAAGGCAGGAGCCTGAATATCCAGTGGTCTTTGCCAGCTGTCAGTTCTGTGACTAATGCCAGGAAACCCGTCTCACAAACGGCCCCTTAATATGAAGCTTTCCAGCGCAGTCCAGAGCCTCTGGGTCCTGGGTATTAGTCTCACTGCCACTCCAGTCACATAGCCCCACACAAACAGTCCACCCACATCTAGCCAAAATATCAGGAGCTGCAGACCAACCCCTCATCCAAAATCACCTCCCTTTTTGTCACATCACTCCCGTCACTCCCATAGGGCCTCTGGACCTTTATACCTGCTTGGCTATATTCTATACACTCTTATCCTCTGCTCCCCAGAGACCATTAAATGAACCATGGCACTGAAGTGATCTTCTACATCATTCTTGACTCATTCTTTTGGGTAGACAAGAACTTAGGACCTTTCTACCTTGCTAAGATATCATTGTCATTGACCCAAGGGCAGAGAGGAATGACCCAAGGCCCAAGTGGACAGCCCTTTTATCTCCTCACATAGAAGTAACAAAGTTCAGAGGTCTCAGTACCATCTAAGCCGGGTTTAGATAGATCCTGTTTATAAAGAACCTAGTTTATAGCTTGGACTCGGAAAAAGAGAAAGAAACATGCCGTTTTCTCTTCCGGGGTTTCCTTATACTCAGCTTTACACCTACCAACCAATGCTTCTCTGGCTTGGGGATCAGATGGGTAGATCTTAGGAAAGAACTTCATAAAGAGAAGCCAAGCAGTGCCCCAGGGGAGCACTGACCTCAGCTATCTCCTCGGTGACTTCAAAGCTCCACTGATCAATATTTGCTCCCAATTTAGCATCTCACAGAGGATTTCCTCCTAACCCTAGAGTAGTGTGACCTGGTTTCTTCTCTCTGGTTAATTATCCACAGAGACTAGCCCGCAGGCCAGAGGACTGAGCTCCAGTGCCCCAAGTGGCAGGAGGCATTCTCAGGGTGAGGCTACCAAAGGGATAATTACGGAGTGGCCATAAGGGTAACCTATTTTGGAGCTCTAGTGATTGGAGGAAGGGTGGGGAACAATAATGCTCACAGTGTCCTGGAGCCTAGTGTCCTGAGGACTTTATGGACTTATTTTGAAGTTGTTCAGTCCTGACATCCACTGCTATAAGGCCAATGGGAAAGCCCAGGACTCAAAGGGACTAAATGGTATCTCCCAGGAGCTGGCTTAGAGCCTTTCTCTGAACATGGTTGGGACCTGGGGAGATGGGAAGAAAGTTAAGGGAGAAGGATTAGCATGAATAAAGGAGCCAAGCGAACTCTAGGTCCAAATACAACTAAGTGCCTGAGAACTGGAGGGGACAAGGGAGAGAAGGCTGAGCATCGAGGTCTTCTTGACGTTTGGAATGACCTCTTTAAAATGGACAGAGGCAATGGTGCCCCCTGGTGGCCAAGAATAAGTGGGAGAATGCAGATGGAACTTAAACTCGTATCAGTAAACCAAACTCCCTTTTTTAATGGGTAGCAGCTAAAATTTATTGAGTACTTCCTATTTCCAGAAACTATCTAAATGTGGTACATGCATTACCTTACTTAATCCTCACAACTCTAAGGGATGTAGGTAATGGTAGTAGCTTTACAGAGGAGGAAACCAAGGTTTAGATAAAGTATCCTACTCAGGACCATAGCTTGTAATTGGCATTGCTAGAATTCAGACCTAGGTTGGCCTCACTCCAGAAGCTGTATTTTAACTACTAAGCTGTATTGTTTATATGGTGCTGACTGTAAATTATCAGCTGCAACTCAGGAAGGAGACTTTGAGTCATTGTTAACAGTTTCTTGGGCACATTAGCTCAGTGTGTTGCTATATTTAAAGATATTTTAAAAGATAAGGAACTATAGGGAATTCCCTGGTGGTCTAGTGGTTAGGACTCCTCGCTTCCAATGCAGGGGGCATGTGTTCGATCCTTGATCTGGGAACTAAGATCCCACAAGCCGTGGGGTGCAGCCAAAAAAAAAAAAAAAAGATACCTGAAATACATGATAAATGACGACCTTCCCAGAATACGGGTAAGGAGAGACAAACATTTAGCACCTAAAAAGACCAGGGGGATAGAATGGGCTTCTTACAAGGAATAATCAGGCTGGGAAAATGGCTGAAAAGAGGATATAGTGCTTTTTCACTGTAGATTATTAGACTCAGAGGGCATGTGTTCAAACTTGAAGGTAGTTTTCAAACAAATAAAAGAAGTAGTACTTTACAGAGCCACTGGGGACTACGTGGAGACTCCATCGGCCTAGGGATAAGATGATTGCTAGGGCTGAAGCTTTGGCTCTCCCACCCCTCTTTGAGCTTGGTTTCTTCCTCTGCAAATGGGAGTAACATGTAGTATTTGTTAGAGCTGTAAAGATTAAATAAGTGTGTGTATGCGCTTGTTATATGAGTATTTAACATATACTAGTTCTTTTTCCCTTGCTATTCATCTCTGTCCTATATTTAAAGGAATCTTGTTCTTGCTCGTAGTCCTTTCCACAGCAAAAACAAATCCTCTAAAACTTATCTTTAAGGACTAGATTTTCACATAATACATTTTCCTAGTCACACCTGGATCTCATTTAACACTGTCTTTGGGAATTCCCTGGCGGTCCAGTGGTTAGGACTCTGCGCTTTCACTGCCAAGGGCCCGGGGTTGGTTGGGGAACTAAGATCCCATAAGCCTCGTGGTGTGGCAAACAAACAAACAAACAAAAAAACAAAAAACACTGTCACACTGTCTTCGGGAATATTTCTTTAAAAGCTAACATTTTTCTGATAAACTCATTTACGAGGTATCTAAAATTTAAGGTGTAAACAGATATGCAGGGTTGAGTATATGCTCTACCAAATACTAGGCTAGAATAATTTTAGTAGCCTCCAGAAAGGTTCAGATAAATTCATGGATTCCTTGTGCTAACCTGTGATATGAATTAAGAGATATGCAAAGTATATCCTCCTGAGGATCAAGTCAAGGATGATAATGTCCACTCTTCCCTATGTAAGACACATGCCTGTGTCCCAATGGCAAAGACTCTTGGGCTGGAGAATTCTTAACGGCTGTTCTCCAGCCGATGACGAACTACTGAGGAACATCACAAGTAACTTGTTACTGATTAACATTAGATTTGTTTTATTTATTAAAACTTGCAAATAACTTGCTTTTTTTGTAAATTACAACAGCTTCAAGTTTCCTATAAGAGTACTCTCACTTACATTTCTGATAAGCTTTCTGGTGGAAGAGTAAGAACTTACAGACACCAAGCAGCAATAGACAGAATCCTGGGTATACTCATAGGGGAATGAAGCAAGTGAACATCATTCACGTGCATCACAGAAGAAATAAAGCTTAGTAACAGCTGGTCTGGAAAACTGATTTGACAGGATACAGCATTTCTTATGACTGACAAGAGAAGAAGGAATTAGCACTAGACCCTGAATTTAGTTGTCAACTAATATCAGGGTGCTTGCTCTGAGCTAGTTAATTGTTAGATTTCATAGGGATTTGTGGTACAAGAAAGCTTTGTTGAACACATTCATTCCGTGTGCCAGGCTTAGTGTAAGGCATTAAGAGAAAAAAAAGACGTAAAACAGAAGCTACTTCACAGCTATATTAGATCAGATTGACGCTTGGGAACATTAGCTTATAGATCCAGTTTTGCCACTACATACAGGACTTGAGGACCTGTGGTTTCTCTGGGCCTCGGTTTCTTTATCTGTAAAATCAGTTACTTCATCTGCAAAGGTGAACTAGATGACTTCCAAGGGCCTTTAGATTCTAAAGTGCTGAAAGTCTTTGAAATGTAATAAACCTGAATAACGGGTGTTCTCTCCCTGAGGCATTCCTGGGACAAATGTTCCATTCCAAACCCTGAGACAGCCACACCTCAGGATTAGGGTGTTTAAGAATCTCCTCAAAGAAGGTATCCTTTATGTTTTCATCCCTATGCCCCAGTACAGAATCTCTACACACAGAAAATGGGGACACACTTATGGTCCACATTGACAATGGCTAGTGATAGAGATGATAAAGGTATACTTTACTGTTGCTTTGGCATCAAATCTGAAAGCTTAGACCAGCAAGCAAGGCCTTTCCTTAAATAACATTCCTTACCTCACTTCTCCCTATCTGATAAAGCCCTTACTTTTCAGCTGAGCTGATCACATCCACTTGCCCTTTCCTGTATGCTCTTGCCGATCCCTCCATCTGGAAGGGTAGGGAGGGTAGAAAAATCCATTTCCTTCAGGACTGAGCTCTATCTTACTTTATGTTTCATCAGTATGAATACAAGTAATTTCTAGCATCCTATACTACCATACACTTATTCATGTTCCCTAGCTTATTCATAGAGGTTCCTCTTCTCACTATAATTAGACTCTAAACACATCATATTGAATAAGCACGGAATAAATGCTTATCTAGTTTGTGAGTCCAGCAGGAATCTCAGATAACAAAAGAATGAAAGCTTCAGGCTCCTCCTACTTTAGCGCTATACCATTCCCAAAGCTCTTCCTTCCCTTCCCTTTTCTTTCCTGTCTGGAATCTCCTATTTTCAAGCCTAATTTAAGGGCCAATTCTGGGCATGAAAAGACAACACGGTTCATACTTTTGGTTTCATATTTTTTCAGTTCATTTCAGTAAAAACATAATATAAAAGGCATTGCCACCCTCTCCCCTCCTGGGGGTGATCCATCAAGCTTGTCAGTCTGGGCCGCTCCAGTGGTTCATAGCTCATCATGCGATATGTGCAGGGCATGGTCACATAGATCTGCAAATAGCACATGACAGTTTCAAAGAAAATGCCACTCTCATACTGATATATGCCACTATCAAGAAAATATCCCAAAACAAACTGACACACACACTGACCACCACTTTTCAGAGCATATGCTTTTTTTGCTTTTTCTTTCCAAGATTTTTTGATGTGGACCATTTTTTTAAAGTCTTTATTGAATTTGTTACAATATTGTTTCTGTTTCATGTTTTGGTTCTTTGGCCTTGAGGCATGTGGGAATCTTCGCTCCCTGACCAGGGATCGAACCCGCACCCCCTGCACTGGAAGATGAAGTCTTAACCACTGGACCGCCAGGGAAGTCCCCGGAGCATATGCTTTTAAATGACAAAACATTCCCACCATCCTCTCACCAGTATCTCACTCAGGTGAGGGAGCCACAAATTCTGAAAGCCAACGGGAAAAGAATGGAGAGGAACAACCCAAGTCCCTAAGCCTAAGTAATGGAAGCCAACTCTTGAGCTAACATCAGAGATTGGAGGAGGGGGTATTAGGGGGGTGTTGGAGGAGCAGGGGTGGAACACACACTAGAGAATGTGGGTTCCACAGGGATGTGAGGACAGGAGGTAAAGTGGGAATAGCTTACCTGTTCGCTTACTACAGAGTTTGTCTTTAACATTGTCAGCCTCTCGGGAAAAGAATTCAATGAGTTCATCCTCGTATTCCTCCACAATGCTCTCACACTGTCAACCCAAGGGAGAAAGGAGTGAGAGAAGACAGCAAGGGAAGCCTCTGGTCTCCACCTCCAGAGAGGAGGACAAGGACATTAATCCAACTTTCCACTTGGGCTCTCCAATAATTCCCCTAGTTTCCAAGAACTGGCTACCCACTCCCATAGCTCACTGCGAACTTGAGGGTGCCACTGATGTCTGAATCAATTCGGATCCCCTGTTGGTCCAGTTCATTGGATTCTCCATTCCGGCCCACTACACGTACGTAGTTCTTGCGGTGGGTAGAAGGGTCAATCTGTTCCCCATACTCCTTCATCCGGTCGCATACCTCCTCTAGCAGCTCTGTGAGGTGGGCCTCTGAGCGAGCATAAGGCACCTAGAAATGTCCTCAGCCTTGGGTCACATTTTTCTACCTCCGTACATTAGTAATTTATATCCTTACTTTTCCTTCCAAATCTAGCTCAACCAACCTATTCTAAAAAGCCTTCCCTAATTTAAAAACAGTATGATTTGTGTAGTTCCAAAGTCCTTCCAAATATGTGATCTTATTTACCTCATTACACAGGCCTAAAAAATAAAATAGGTGTCATTAGCTCCAAATTATAAATAAACAACCTCTTTGATTAACCTTAGTCAACTATGTGTTCTCTTCCTTTGAATTCTTTTAATTCTTATGGCTGTAAGGTAATGATTTTCTTTTTTGTATTAAAATGAGGCTAATACCTGCCCTTAATAGGAGGAGAGCATTAGAGAGGCAGTATGGGCTTTGAAGATAACAACTATTAAGGCATTTCACAAGCATCATAACCTTAACATCTCCCAAATGCCCACAGGGTACAGCTTTCTGTCTGCGTTATGTTTCCACCTGAAATAAATTTCCTAAATGTAAGGATAAGACCTATTTTTTTCGAATGAATGTTTGTTTGTATACCATACTGCCATAGTGAAAACACAAGTCACATGGATTAAGGATGTGGAGAAGGGGGCTGATCAAGGTTCCCTGTCTGTTAACGACTTCTACAACAGAAATAAAGTATTAGGGTTTGGAGCCAAGGAAGCAAATGCATAGGGTATAAGCCTCCAGCCTCTTCCAAATAAGACAGCCCAATCTTTTAGATACCTATGTGGGTCAATGTTTTCTACATTCCTATTAAACTAAGGTCCTTCTTAATTAGTTAGAGTGAGCTATTTTATTTGGGGGAACAGTCAGTTACCTCCACCACTGACTGGCTGCCATCTGGATTGATTCGGAAAGAGCCCATCTGAATGGTCTTCTTGGGATCCACCTGGGCAATTTCCCACTCTAGTTCATCCACCAGAGCCCTGCAAGCTGGTGCAAGGGGGGGCAGGGGGTGGGGAGAGAAAGGAATCAACCCAGGGACTTCCACTCATCCTTCTCCCAGGCCTTGGATCCCATGCCCTCCAAGGCTCTATCTTCCCCACCCACTCTTCCTCCCGTTTCTTTTGTGCCTTTACCTCCACAGTGTAGATCCTGGCTCCTCCGGGCCCAGACAGCTCCCAGCAGGGCCCCCAGAAGCAGGGCCAGCAAACCCCAGCCCTTCATCTTTAGCGCAATGGGGTTGCTCCACCTGGGTTTGGGTTGGAATAAAGCATAGGCGTGAGGAGCCAGCTCCATTCTCCCCTGTACCTCGCCCCCCACCCCCACCCCCGCCCAATCCTTCATCCCAAGGCCTACAAAGGCCTCAGTGTGATCTGGCTCTACTTTCCAGGAAATGGCCCGGACACAAAGGGGCTCCTCTGTTCCGGCGCTCGAGGCTCCGGACGCTCCGGGGCGGTGGGTGAGAGCGCTGAGCTCGGAACGTGGGGCTTAGCCCCAGACACTACGTCGACAGGTGAGGCCTTGGATGTTGGTACTTAAGCGTCCGCTGCCTAGGATTCACAGGGCTATGTGGCAGCCATGGGTTGGTGGCTAGGATTAAGCAAGGACGACAGGCACAGCGGAGCTGCTGGCAAGGAGAGTAGCTGATTCTGGCCAGGAGGTGGCGAGGTGGCTGGCTGACGAGAGGAGCACTCGATAACTAGGGTCTATTTGGACCCAGCACCGAGACTGCTGCATCCCCACCTCCAGCCTATAAGCTATTCCCCGTGCGGGCCAGCCCCCTTTCTAAAGACCCCACCACTGCCTTCTATCCAGTGCAACCCCGACCCTCAGTGCCACTCGCATCCGTCCCACCTCTGCTCCCAGGGCCGCCGCCGTGGCCCAGGCGCTGGAAGACAGCCGGACTCTCACTTTAGCTCCCGACCCTAGCACCTGGCTGCGGGAAAGCGGGGCTGTCCAGGCGTCTCCAGAGCGCTCCTGCGCTTTCCAGACACGGGGTGCCCCGGCGACTGCCTGAGCCAGCTCCTCGAGCCCTAAGTGGACGCCTAAGCAGGTCTCAGATGCGCTACGGTTCGAGTCCCACACTAGAGACCGACCCCAAACCCGCCCCTCCAAACTCTCGCGCGAACAGGCAGCGTAGGAGCGGCTCCCAGGCGGCAAGGACCCCGGTGGATCGCAGGACCCAGACTTGCGTGGCGAGCAGCTCCACGTGACCACCGGGGGCGGTCAGCCGAAGAATAGGAGTGGCTTGAAGCAGAGTCAGAACCTGACGTGGTGCTCGGAGGCGGTCAGGCTCGCGCGTGCCAATCTAGGTGGGCTCGGACCTTCAAAAAGAAAGGTGTGCTGCTAGCCAGTGAGAAGCCCTGGTTTCAATACCCAGAAAACTACATCCCCCAGGAAGCACTGCGGCACCACACAGATTCTTTAGTAGCTACAGATTTTAAGATGTCCTGGGACCTGTAGTTTGTCAGTTTCTCCAGCTCCCCTTTTACACGTAACAGGGAAACCATACTGTACGTCTTAAAAGAACCCGACCTTAGGGTTCTAGGCAGCCACAGCAAAGACCTAACACTGCCCAGGAAAGGCATTCTCTTCCAATATCCTAAATTTTGGACTCCAGAGTTTTACCTTCATTTCTGGGTGTAAATTTGAAAGCCTTAGTTTTTTCCAGTTGTAACAGAAACACTGAGAGGAGAGCTGAAGTCAAGAGAACCCCACACGCACACATTTCTAATGAGATAGATGACACTCAATAATATTTTTGTTTTTATTTTATAAAACATGCAGTTTAAGACAAAAATTTTAAAAAAATAACAAGAAAACAAAACCTGGAACAGGAGAGTGGATGGAAGACAGATGCTTCTCAGCTGTCAACAGGAGTGAAGCCAGCAGTGAAGCTTCGTCTAGGACCCAAAGGCCCTTTCGGCAATAATAATGTTGGCAACACTGATTTGCTTGGGACCAGACTCTAAATGCTGGCCCCTCCAGGCAACCCTCAAGCAGTCAGACTTAAGCTAGGTCTTGAGCTATTGTTGTATCCTGTCATTGTCCGGGACTTCAGTACTTAGCCAACTAGAAACTGAGAGTTTTGGTTCCAGGAGCTTCTTTGCCTGGGCATTAATTACCCAGGATATTTATTAAGAATATGAATTACTTTCCACCTGGGTCAATTCTAGACTCTGTTTCTGGCCCACTATTTTGCAAAGGATGAAAAAGGAATCTGGCTCCTAGACCCTTTGCAACAGTTCTGCTGCATTCCAGTTCTATTAATAGCACCATCTGTAGACCCTGAGCAAGTCCAATTCTGGAAGTAGACAGGGTATAGCCAACTTGGGAAGCCATCTCCCACTTCTAGGGCCACAGAAAACTGAAGGGAGAGGGAATTGTTCGTTGGGAGAGGGTGAGGTCAGAGCGCCAGCACTGAAGAGAAGACAGCTGCATCTGTCAGAGACAAAACAAAGAGCATTGACTCCTAAGATGAGTGGAGAAAAAGCACCTGGGGCACTTCTTATGAAGGAAAAATGCGGAAAGAGGGCGTGGACCTGCCCCAAACATTTTAGAACTTGGCAAGAAGAGGTTAGGACCAATAGAGAGTTTCAATAATAAAATCAATTTCACTGAATGTTTTGAGGATTAAGTGCTTTGTAAACTGTTAAGTGCTTTATATTACAACCTGTTGGGGTGGTACTGTTGTTAACATCATCATCATTCTTATTACGGTGGGTATAATCTTCACATATACAACCAAAACCCACCCAGTCCAGTTTCCCCTGTCCCATCCCAGGCCTTACTCTTGGGACTTGTCTGGCCCTCGGGCTCAGGCACCTTCCAGTCCATCTTTCGGCCTTTCTCGTAAAGGCCCTTGAGCACTTTGTGGAAGGACTCAGGCTCAGTGCCATTTTTGCTTAGCTCCAGATACTTTCGGTAAAGCTGAAGGGCTGTGCGGGCATCCTCAATACTGTCATGGGTCTCCCCTTGAATCTTCAAGTCTGGGGAAAGTAGAAGTGGAATAGTTTGGGGCCTAGCAAAGGGAGGTAAGGACATGTCCTCTACTCACACTCCCAACTCCCAATAAACAACAACAAAAAAAACCTGACTACCCTTAAGGGAAAGAGCCAAACATCAACCCTAGAGCACAGAAGGGATACTGAAGCTAATTAAATCCATCAGTAACTCTCACCACTAACCCAGGGTCGTAGCTACTCCCCTTGGCCTCTCACACATTTTCATGCTCTTGCTGACCACAGCAAGAGCTACAAGGCAGAGCAACTCACCCAGAAAGTACCAAGCAAGGAATCGCAGGGAAATCATTCGTTTTCGGGGCATGTGAAATAGATAAACAGTGTCAAGGACTTGGTCCTTGGGCACCTGCCAGGGATAAAAGAGTGGGAGACTGAAGGTAGGGGATCCATAATTTCCCATTTTCCAAAAGCACAATGTATACCCTGGGGGGCCCACACACAAAGAAAGACTCTTAAAAGAGCCCTGCCCGAACCATGAGGTTGATGACCCGGAAGTCCTTCTGCAGACCGTGACCCACAAACTTGACTCCAATGTCTATGAGAAAACGAAGCTTTAAGTAGGTAGACTTTAGAGTTGTAAGGTGCTTAGAGGAAATCTTGGCATCAAGGTCTCCTGGCTTTATCCCTGAGTACTGAGTCAAGTAATCCACCACCTAGGGATAGAGAAAAGGTCAAGCGACCCAGGAAACGAGGTGCACAGTTCCCCCTGCCACTCTTCCCTGGGTTCTAGGGCACTCTGTATAAGCACAGGGTCTCTCTCACTTGCATCTCCACATCCTATTACCTGCTCCTGGGTAGAGATGTAGTCATCAATGAAGGGGATACCCTCATTGGGTCCCTGGCCCCTAACGCAGGTAATCCTCGCTACTGACATCTGGCTTGGCTTGATGGTAGACTTGGTGCCATCGCTGCGCAGCTCTGCTTCTTCCTATATGAGAAGAGTTCATAAGGAAATCAGAGAAATGCTTATGACTCCTAATATCCCCAGAGTTCTGTTCTAACACCCCACCCTTTTTGGTCTTGGTTACCTCATTAAGGGTGACAAACTCAGCGTCCAGGCCCACCAAGTCCCCAACCTGTGGCATCTCATTCAGCATCAGGGGAATAAAGGTCGTATGTGTTTTCCGCTGCTTCCGTGCTAATGAGGCTTCAGCCAGCAGAACACTTGCCTCGATGGGGTTCTTAACTGGAAGGGAGAATCCATAAAGATGGCTTGGGAGAGGGAAGTGACCAGGGGAGGGAAGCTGGAGTGGCTACCAGAGACCAGGTCTACGCTGTTATCCCAATAATCAAAGCATGTGAGTAAAAAGATCATGTCTGATGGACAGAGCAGGTAGACGGAACAGGACAAATCAGAAAATTATCGGGAAATATGCTAAAAAAAGCCAAAAAAGTTAACAGAGAGGAAGGAATAAGATTCTCACTTTAGACTTTACCTTAGTAAATCCAGAAAAATAAAGTTACAGAGAAACTATGGTTTAAAGGCATCAAAAAGGGACTTAATAAGGAGTTCATCACCAAAAAAAGAGATCTTCACTTGGGGATAAGAATGGTTAGTCTCAAAATCATAACCTTAGCCATTTTGATCACACTTCCCCCCCATCACCTCTTCCCTCGACACCCTCAGTATCTCCAGATTCTAAATTTAAGGCCTGATGAGCAGGAATTGCTCTACTGTCCCTGGAAATATTAACACTGGTCGCCAGTCCTAATCTTAACAAGCTATTTCCCAGATCTCTTCCTGAAGACCAATCTAATTGCCCACACCCTTGGATCTATACTGTACCACTTACTGTTCAGGTTGTATTTGGAATTAAGATTCCTTTTGATGTAATAAAGGATAGCAGGCACTTTCCAATTCATGTCAAACTGCACAGCTTCATGCTATAAAAGAAAAAGCACTTAATGGCCTACATATATGCCCCTTTTCCCTTTATCCCAAGTCAGAGAGAAGACAGGACTCAGGTGCTATTCTTAGCTCTGCTTTTTATTATTGAGGCCCCATCCCCCCCTCTGAATCTGCCTGGCACTCTCTCAGGCACTGAGGATGAGGATGCTAAAAAAAGGGAGATGAAAGGGGGAACAGAATGTATTACAACTAACCTTATCAATAGGTTCAATGAGAAAGTCGTTGAAGAGATACCACTGCTGGTGGGTAACACCCTGTGGAGATACAGAGACACAGTGATGCCAAAGTGATGGCTGGAGCATTCTGGCTCAGACTTAAGATAAGGACAGACCTGGGACTCCACTGTGGCCACCACCAGGAGTGTCCCTGCCCTGTATTACCTCACTCACCTCCTTGCGCTGGTGGTAGGTCTCTCCAACTTTGATGTGAGCCACCAGGCTGCCCCCTGTGCGTGAGTCCAGGATGTGTACCACAGTAGCCATCAGGTCATACACATAGACACCATGCTCCTCCTCTGCCCTGGCTGGGCCCCACTGTGAGGGGGGTACCCAGGCTGCTAAGCTAAGTTTAAGGATGAGGAAGGAAGGGGAATGGGGATAGAGGACAGGGAGTCTGGGGTATAGGGATGGGGGACGAGGGTGGGTTCTTTCCATCCTAGCCCATCTATGACTCCCAACACTGAACTGAGTCACTCTGGAAAAGCCCATAACTGGTGAATACTAGGCCTTATTCCCTTTTTTCCCCTATGCTAAATTCCACCTTCCCCTTGCCTTGCTTCTGCCCCGACCTTCTCTCTTTTTTTTTTTTTTTTTTGGGCCGCGCCACGCGGCTTATGGGATTCTAGTTCCGGACCAGGGATCGAACTCGGGGCCCCAGCAGTGAGAGCGCCGAGTCCTAACGACTGGACCGCCAGGGAATTCCCGGACCTTCTCTCCCTTATTCCCCCTCCTCTTCCCAGTTTTTCAACAACCTGCATCTCATCCCCATCAGTCCAATTGCAAACATCCAGCCCTTTGTTCTTGGTCATCTTCATTCGAATGGAGAAAGGAAGCCAGACATTCTTCAACTCCTCAATGGAGGGACACATCAGCATGCCCTCTGGACTCCCTAGTTCCTTCCTATCAGGACAGGAGAATTGGAAATTTGTTCTGAGGAGATCTGACCAGTGACAAGAGAAGCCCCTGAGTAGTTCAATCCTTTGACCACTCTATAGACAATACCTACCAATCAGCCAAAGCAAACTCCTTATTCTTGGAGATTTCCCCACCATGCTTCTTTATTGCTATCTTGAAGGCAACCTGAACACAAAGGAGAAAATATCCAATTCCTCAGGAACATTAACCATATATGGAAGTCAAAAGAGGGAAGAACTAAAAAATACTCCTAAAGTCCTGCTTCCAGACTCAGGCCTTACCTCAGCCTGCATTCTCCAGAAATC